GGAGTTTAGGGTCAAGTTTAGGGTTTAGGCTTTGGGGTTTAGAGGTCTGAGGGGTTGGGGTTTCGGGCTCAATCCCTGCGAGCCCTTCCCGAAGGCGCTTAAGACCGTTGACCACCGCTCGCTTCTTTGCAAGATTCCCCTCAGAGGATGGCACTGGTAGCGGCTGTCTTCCAGGGATGATTGTCCCTGAACCCTACAGCTTTCGCCCGGGAACAGAGAATTTTTTCAAGCACCTTAAGACCCTGAAGGCTCGAAGGATTGGAGGGTTGGGGGGCGTGCGGGTTTGGGGCTGGAGGGGTTGATGGATCCAGAAGCCTAGGTAGGGTGTTTAATTCTTTAAGCATGAGCAGGGGTGATTACGGGGTTTGGGTCTAGGAGTTTGGGTTGAGAGTGTGGGTGCAGCAGGGCATGGCCCACATCAGCACCACAAGCCCTCCATCTTTGCTGTGGATGTAGCACTCTTTCTGTCTTAGGATCAGGGCTGCGAGGGTTTAGGGTTCAAGCGTACGGGTTTAGGGTTGCATCTACTTACTTACGTCCATGGTTTCCTCGCTACTCGGGATCCAGCATCTAGACGACAGGCACCCAAAAGCTGCTTCTAGCACTTTCAGACTGCAGGCCGTGGTGCAAGGATCCAACGATGAAAGAGGCCTCTTGCCAAATCCCCACCCAGCCCCGATTGGAGGACACAGATACAAGTACCGAAAGCTGTCGGAGCTGATAAGGGAACAACTTGGGTGATGCACCCGGCACAAATCTCAAGACCTTCACTGAAAGTCCAAAGCCTAGATCATTGACAATCCTGTCCCCCAGGCCGAAAGTGTGGCAGAGCTCATGTTTATTAGAGCATCGCCGGTGCTGTTTTACGCGATGCACAGGCATTCTTCCTGTGTCTGTTCGGCGTGAATCGCCAGATACTCGATAAGGCAACGTTTGCCGACGGTAGTTTGGCAATTGCAACAACTGCTGACGTTTTACAGAGCACGGGAGAACTGAACCAGGACCCCGGGCATCATGCTGCAAAACGGGCCCTTGCCACGCTGCGCAAAACACCCACCCCAAGGCCGTACCTGACAACACAGAACCTATCTCTTTTAAGGAAGGGAAGCCCGCGCCCCAAAACACAGAGAAAATGAGACAACGGAATTGACGGACAGGCGTCCCTACTAAAGTTAATATATATATATATATATATATATTATATATAATATACGATATAAAGCTGCCCTGAACTCTAAACCGTAATCCATGTGGCGCCTAAAGGAAGAGGTTGCCAAATGCCTGTACTTTCTCCCCCCTCACCGCCGGCAGGCGACCGCTTCTCTGCTTCGAGAATGCGCCTTCCGACGGTGGGGGCGAGGGGCTGTTGAAATCTAGAATCCCCGAAGGTTTTACGCTGGTTCTTGCTAGGGTTTAGGGTTTAG